AAACCCTACTCCCTAAACCCTAAAACCCTACAACCCTAAACCCTAAACCCCGGCTCGCCGAAGTTTTTTGCCGGGCTGCCAGAGGTCGCAGTCGTCCTGCCCTTCTCGGGCTGGGGGCCTAGCCTAGGGGCTTAGGGATTTAGGGTTCAGGGTTTAGGGTTTGGGGTTTAGGGCGGCCCTGCTCGGGCTAGTTGTAGTCGACGGGCTCCTCCTTGACCCGGCCCTGTTCGGGCTTGTCGTCCTTGTCGTCTTTTTTGTCGTCGTCGCCCTGCTCGGGCTGTGGGTTTGGCTCGTCGCCTTCTTCAGGCTCTGGCTTTTCGCCTTCTTCAGGCTCTGTTTTTTCCTCTTTTTTTTCTTCTTTTTTATCTTCTTTGGGCTCGGCCTGCGAGCCTTGTGCAGGCTGCTGCGAGCCTTGTGCAGGCTGGTCGGCAGAGCCTTGGTCGGCCTGGCCTTGTACAGGCTGCATGTTGGCAAACGGGCTCTCCGACACTGGGACCACCCGAGGTGCTCGTGCAGGCTGCTGCGAGCCTTGTGCAGGCTGTTCCTTCGTTGCAGCCTTGCTCACAGGCGGGAGCGAGGCCTGACGAGCTGCAGCTTTGCCTTTTGCAGGCTGCGGCTCTGCTTGCTTGCCACTGCCTTTTCCAGGCTGTGGCGGCTGGTTGCTGGAGCTGCTGCCTTGTCCAGGCTGCTGCAGATACAGATCCTTCATTTCCTGTTTTTTTCAAGGATCTCTTCCCACAGCTCGTCCTCTTCGGACTTGCTTGTGCTCTCCTCGAGCTTCTCTGAGAGGACCTGCAGTTGCCACTGCAGGTGTTTTTTCTTCTCGTAATCGCGAGAAGAAAGCCACGGCACTTCACGTGCTTGCAGCTCCGGGGGCACTTCCTTCCCCTCTCGCTGCAACTGCCGCCGTTGCAGGCGTCGGCACTGCGATTGCCATCCTCTGGCTACACTTTTTCCTCGTTTTGAGCTGCTCTCCTCCTCCGAGCTTTCCTGTGGCCACTCGTCCTGTTCGGACTTGACTTCTCTCTTCACCGGCCCTTGCCACTGAGTCCACCACGAAGAGTGGTGCTCCTGCCATGGCTGGCTGCTCCACGGCTCGGGTTCGTACCATTCTTGCCACTCCGTCCAGGAGCTGTGCTGCCATCGCTGGCTGTCGTCATTGTGCCAGTCGTCGTCCTGCCATCTCTGGCTGTGCCTTGGGTTCTGCCAGCTGCTGGATGAGGGCTGCCATCCCTGGCTCCAGCTCTGGCCATGGCGATCGTCGTCATCGCCCTGCCATCGCTGGCTTCTGCACTCAACCTTGTACTCCCGCCGGCCTGCGCCCCGGCCTCTATTGCCTTCTTCAGGCTCAGCTGGCTCCGTTGGTGTATAGTCATAGGAGTAGTAAGTGTAACTATACGGCTCTTTTTTAAATTTGCTCTGCTCGAGCTTCTGTCCCTCTTCTTGCTTGCTGCTCTGTTCGAGCTAGCTGCTCTGTTCCGGCTAGCTGCTCTGTGCGAGCTGCCGGGCCGCTTGGCAATTGCTTTCGGCCGCAAACCCGGCAACAAGGGCTGGGCAGGCCAGGAGCTTTGGTCCTGGTGCTGCCACCTCTGCCCTGCCAGGCTCCAATACGGCCTTTGCAGCTCTTCCGAGCTCCACCCCATCTCCAGGATGAAGGCCCTCACTTGCGGGCTGATGTTCATGTTCATGTCGAGCGACTCGTGCTCTGCGAGGCTCAAATCCCGCCATTCCAGGCTGTACTCGTCCAGGATGAGCACGAGCTTTCCCAGCTGAGGGTGCCATCGGACTCTCCACCAGTCCAGGCCTTGCACCGCCATTGCTGGCTGCAGCATGACTGCTGCAAGGCACATTGCCTTTCTCAGGCTGCTGCTCCGGTGGCCTGCCTTCTTCAGGCTAGTTGGGTTGTGCTTTGCCTTCTGCAGGCTGCAACATGTGGCCATGATAGCCACGAAGAGGGCCGCTGCCTTATGCAGGCTTGCGACGAAAAAGCTCCACGCCTTGTTCAGGCTTGCCTTCTGCAGGCTGCAACCTGTGGCCATGCAGGCCACGAAGAGGAAGGCCACTGCCTTATTCAGGCTTGTGACGACGAAGCTCGCCTTATTCAGGCTTGCCATGGCTCGACTACCCTAGCTCCGGAAGTAGGCTTCAGCTTTGCTTCAAGCTACCGACCTATAGCCCTTCAAGGTTTAGGGTTTAAGGGTCTAGGCTTCCTACTTTAGCTTCGGGAGGCTTAAGCTAGGACCTATAGAACTAAGTTCAGGGGTCTAGCGAGGACTACTTTGCTCGGAGTGCTTCGGGTCAGGGCCCTACTGTTAAAGAGGTCTACCTTTCTGGGGTTAGCTTCAAATGGTTTAGGACTCCCCTAAAGCTTTCAAGGCTACTTTGCTTTCTACAAGCTACCTGCTTCCGTCCTACATGCTGTCGTGTCGTGTGTGTGTGTGTGTGTGTGTGTGTGTGTGTGTGTTGTGTGTGTGTCAGCTAGCCTTGCAGTGCTGTTTGCTGTTGCTTGCTAGCTGCTTCTGAGCCGAGACAGGCAGTCGGGCAAAAAGCCTTCAGAATGCAGGCTGGCCACATGCTTCGCTGCAGCTGTCCTACTACTTCGGACTGCACTTTTTTTTGCTGGCAGTTCGCTCACCGCCTCAGTCCTCTGCCTTCGCAGGCTCTCCTTCTGACCCGTCCTTTCCTTCCTCCTCACCCTCTGCCTTTGCAGGCTCGCCCTCTAGCACTTCTGCCTCGTCTGCCATTGCTGGCTCTCCCTCCTCTGCCTCTGCCGGCTGTGCATCGAGCTCTCGGCCCAGCAGCCACGTCTTGTACTTGACAAGAGTCTCCTTGTCGACCTCTTCGGTCTGCAGCTTTTCCAAGAGGATTGCCATGATTCTGGCTTGCCGGTCGCCCTTCTTCACGTGTACGTTGACGAGCGACTTCTCTTTGCCATCGCTGGCTTTGTACGTGATGTAGGCTTTCTCCGAAGCCCGTGTCACTTTGACGAGACCATGGGAAACAGTCTCGTGCCATACCTTTTTCAGGCTGCCAGGGCTCTTCAAAACTTTCTTGCCTTTTGCAGGCTCTTTGGCTTCTGCAGCCTTCTTCGAATTCGCCGCCTTGGCTTTCGCAGCCTTCTTCGCCGCCGTCGCAGGCTTCTTTAACACTCCCGCCGACAACACACCCTTACTGCATGCAGTAAGGGCTGTGCTCGTCACACTGACGACCTCCACATCCATAACCGCCATTGCAGGCTCAGCTTCTGCGACGAGAATCGGACACCTGCTTGTCTTGGTGTTCAGCCTTCGCAGGCTGCTCGACTGCGACTCCTCGGCGGCCGGCCGTTTCTGGCTCATCTCTAAGGCTTGACTCTGGCTTCCCAGGCTGGTCGAGGGAGGGTCGTCCTTTCGGATTGCTTGTAGAGGGTCGTCCTTTCGGACTGTTAACATTGTTGGTTCCCTGCTCATTATTCAAGCTGTGGAGGAGGTCTTTGATTATGGGGTGGGTCCGGTCCCCGGTTTTCAAATTCCTCCACTTGCGGCCCAGCCATTTTCTGGCTTCCGCCGTGCCCTGCAGCATGGCGTTTATGTCCCCAGCCGCCATTTTGGGAAAAGCGCCTTTCCAGGCTTCCCGCGACTGTGGCTTTGAGAACCCCATGGGGCACCAAAGCTTAAGAAAACTGGCGTGCTTTATGCAAGCTTCTTCAGGGTCTGCTGGCCAGTCTGCCTTTGCAGGCTGTCTCGCAAAGAAGCCCTTCAGTACTGCCTTTCCTTGCTGCATGCTATCGCTAGCTGCCATTTAAAAAAAAGTAGCTGCCTTGTGCAGGCTAGCTTCGTTTGGCCATGGCCGAGCTAAAGGACGAGTCGTTTCTAAAGCTAGGGCCTAATCGAGGTGCTTAAGGCTTCGTGTGTATAGTGTTCTTGCCGGGTTTAGGGTTTAGGGTTTACAGTAGGGTTTAGGGTTATATGCGAGGTTTTGAGTCTAAGGTCCTGCCGCCCTTCTTGAGCCACAATGCTGCTTATATAAGGGGGCTTGAGACTCCTTGTATATTTTATACAAGGAGTCGCAAGCCCCCTTATACAAGCTTGAAGGCCGCCACATGTGCTGCAGCATGCAGTGCATCCCAGAAAAAACCCGGCGGCATGCAGAATACACAACATGCATGTCTGTATATATGTGTATATACATGTATACACAATATAGATTTTAAATCAATATATAAGCAGACTATTAAAACCAAAACAAGCTTCTAGGATGCCCTAGAAGCTCCAAAATGGAGCTTCCAAAATAAGCTTCCTAGAAGCGCTTCTAGAATTTCGTAGAAGCTCGTTTTGAAGAGCCCAAACCTCAAAATCCTAGAAGCTCGGTTTTGGGCTAGAAGCTTCAAAACAGAGCTGGCAGCTCATTCCTAGCAGCTCCAAAACGAAGCTGCCAGTCTCAAAACGGAGCTGCCAGCTTCAAAACGGAGCTTCCAAAACGAGCTTCTAAAACACAGAAGCTCCGTTTTGGAGCTGGCAGCTGCAAAACGAAGCTTCCCGGAAGCTCTGGGCCGGTAGTGCCTGCGGGGTTCTTGCGCTTGGCGCATTGGGCTCATCTAGACTTCTGGCTGCCTCTGCTGCAGCATTCAGAAGCGATCCGGAAGTTCCCAGACCAGTGGGCATAGTTGGAGTTGCCGTAGGTGCCGCTGCATTCGAAGTCGGCGCGAATGTTGTAGACGCCGCTGCATTCGAAATCGGCGCGAAGGTCGTAGGCACGAAGGTCATTGGAGTAGTCGGGGGAGTTGCACTGCACGAAGTAGGAGTGCCAGGATTGGGGAATCCAAAGTTCATGGTTCCAGGCGGTGATGCGGAAGTGGATTTGGGAGCTGCATAGCCTGTCGCTAACAATGGAACTCGGGAAGCGTCTGTTCGCCCATCCATAAGGAGTGGCATGCCCAGACCCTTTGCCGAGACTGGCAAAGGCTGCATCCGCTCCAGGCAGGATTTCTCGTTCAGGTACTCCTCGCGAAACTCCTTCAGAAAGCACACCGGGCCGCGTAGTCGCCCATCTGCGGACGATCTCGGGGATTCCGCCGGAGATACTCCGCCCACGGATCCGACATGGCGCTGGAGCAAACGCTCAGCTACCAACTGGTAGCAACACTGCCAGCTACCTCCTTTGCTGGCGCAGCCACAACGCTCAAGGCCTGTCAGCGGCGGTCGCATCTGACTCCTACGCTCCACCGGGAAACCAGTCTTTACTTTCAGAGTAGTGCTAGTAGTAGTTTTAGTAGTACTAGTACTAGTACTAGTACTAGTACTAGTACTAGTACTAGTACTAGTACTAGTACTAGTACTAGTACTAGTACTAGCACTAGTAGTAGTAGTAGTAGTAGTAGTAGTAGTAGTAGTACTAGTAGTACTAGTAGCACTAGTAGTAGTAGTAGTAGTAGTAGTAGTAGTAAGAAAGCAGCAGTATCAGCCGCAGCAGAAGTAGCGTCGGAGCAGCAACGTTTGTCATAGCAATGGCAGCTGCAGCTGCTACGACTGTTAGTCGTTGCCGTTTTTTACACCAGTAGTAGCAGTGGTAGTCGTACTGGCAGGGCATGCTATTAACGCACCTGCAAATGACGTTTTCATAATACTTGTGCCTATTAGCAATTAGCGGCAGACGTCGTATTCGTCGGCGTCGCATGATTGGCGTGAGCATGGGGGTGCAACAGCATCTCGTCGAAGCGTGTGCATCAGCAGTGCTACATCGTTTGCAGTGGTGCTTAAAGCTTCTGATTGTGGACATGAGTCTTTTAGGTCTTGCAGGTACAGCTGTTGACGATGATGTTCATGCTGTGAGTATGCGACTATGTTTGCTTGTGGGTTGCGTGTCACTACTGTCGTATCACCCTTACTGTTTCTAGCTTTCAGGACAAGCCACGGGCCACCACAACTCGTCAAGGAGCTTGCCTTTGCTGCCATGCAGCAGCCGAGCTCCATTCCGGTTACCTCCAGTGGCAGGTCCTCAAGACCAAGCGGTTGGGGTCAAGAGAGTTTGTGGCTCCAGGGCTTCTAGCTGTGGATCCCAGCAAGGTGTTCACACCTCTACGCATACTGCAGAAGTCGATGGCTAATGGAGGTACAGCAATGCAGACACTTCCTTCTCGAGACAGAAGTGGGATGTATGGATGTATGACCTCGAACCTAGCCTGCGCCAAGGCTGGCAGGAAAGAATTACTGGCACTCGTGCCACTGTTTAACATTCATAATTACTGCATTTGCTCACTCCAGCCGCTACACTTCCTGGTACAGTAGTAATGTTGCCGCTCTTGGGGTCATGCATGTCGCTGCTCTTGTATACCCCTCGCTGATATCCACGCCCTTGCGATCATTGCGATGATGTGGCGATCAGCGCTTGCACTAGTCTATTTTGCCGCCACCAAGTATTGGCACTAGGTGTACGATCACCGACAGTATGGCCCTGAAACGACTCATGTTTGTCACCACTCCCATGTTGCTCTGGCGACAAATCTTGCAACTAGTGCAGAACGATCTACCGTTTCTATGGCTACGTCGACAGTACATGAAATATCGTCACGCATGGTGAAAAGCTGAACCTACCATCGGCACAGGTACTAGCAACTATTTGCTATCAGTGTCACGCTTCGCTGATCGCATTCCATCTACCTTTCGATTGCGGCCATGACTACTCCTTCCCTTCTTTCGCTTATGGCCGGGGTTTTGGGCCTCTGACAGTTCTTAGCACTCTCATCCTTGTTGCCACTGCAACCCTTACGAAAAACAAGTCCATGACTATCTGTGCTGCCACTTCTGTGAGCATATTTGCAGATGGCATGCTCAAAAAGAGTGCTCATCACAAGATGGATGTTCCGGTGATTACAATACGTACGACAATCGACAGAGTACTAGTACCACTACTACTACTACTGCTGCT